TCCTTCCCAGCCCTCCCATGCCCACTGAGAAGGAAAGCAAAATGATATCCAGTTATACATGTGAAATCATGCAAAACATATTTCCGTATTTACCAAATTGCAAAAAAACCCCCAAAAATTAAAAAAGGGAGAAAAATACTTCAGTTTGCACTCAGAGTTCATTAGTTCTCTCTCAGATGGACAGCATTTTTTTTTTCACCATGAGTCCTTTGAAATTGTCTTGCCTCATTATATTGGATTAGCCTAGCTGAGTCTTTCACAGTTGATCATCATTACAATATTGCTGTTACTGTGCACAGTAATCTTTTGGTTCTTCTCACTTCACTTTGCATCAATTCATACAGATTTTGCCATGTTTTTCTGAAACCACCCCTTTTGTCATTTCTTACAGTACAATAGTACTTCATCACAATGATATGCTGCAACTTGTTCAGCTACTCCCCAGTTAATGAGCATCCTCTCAATTTCCAATTCTTTGCCACCACAAAAAGAGCTGCTATAAATATTTTTGTATATTTAGGTCCTTTTCCTTTTCCTTTGATCTCTTTGAGGTACAAACCTAGTTGTGGTATTGCTGGATCAAAGGGTATATACACAGTTTTATAACCTTTTGACCATAGTTTCAATTTATTCTCTAGAATGGTTGGACCAATTCATAACTCAACCAACAGTTTATTAGGATATCTACTTTCCAGCACTGTCATTTCTGGTAGGTGTGAGGTGGTACCTCAGAGTTGTTTTAATTGGAATTTCTCTACTTAATAGTGATTTAGAGCATTTTTTTTCATATGACTGTAGATGGGTTTGATTTCTTCTTCTGAAAACTACTTATTTATATCCCTTGACAGCTGATAACTTGGGGAATGGCTCATTTTTATAAATTTGACTCAGTTCCTATATATTTGAGAAAAGAGGACTTATCAGGGAAATGTCCTGTAAATTTTTTAAAAATATTACTTCATTGTCTATGGTACCTTTTAGTAAAATGTAGTTTCCCTGATTTTCCCTTTTAATTAGGTCTGTTTTTGCTTTTACTTTGTCTGAAATCATTATTGCTACACCTGCCTTTTTTACGTTAGCTGAAGCGTAGTAGATTCTGCTCTCCCATTTTCCCCTCCACTATAAAAGCTCTCCCTTACATGCCACTTTCATGTGAAAAATTTGCCATTCTTCCTCTCCCTTCTCCCTTTTTTTCAGTACTTTATCATGCCTTCATTTATTTAATTATTTTTGGAGAGGATTCCAACATAATCAACTCATACTTATGCCCTTTGCATAGTAGACTCCTTCTAACTGCCCTAATAATGATAAAATTCTTTTTCCCCTCTTCCCCCCCTCACGTAATAGTATTTTATTTTTTCCAGTTCCATGTGAATGTAGTTTTCAACATTCGTTGTTGAACTGAGTTCCAAATTTTTCTTTCTCCCTCCTTCCCTTCACCCCTCCCTGAGATGGTAAGCAATCTGATATAGGTTATACATGTATAGTCATTTTAAACGTATTTCCCCATTAGTCATGTTGTGAAGGAAGAATCAGAACAAAAGAGAAAAACCACGAGAAATAAAAAACAACAAAAAAAGAGCAAATATTATGCATTGATCTGCATTCAGACTCCATAGTTCTTCCTCTGGATGTGGATAGCATCTCCCATCATGAGTCCTTTGGAGTTGTAGTAAGATTAAGTGATTTGCTCAAATTTGAACCCATAGGGCTCCTTAACCTCCCTAAGCCTCAGTTTCTTTATTAGTAAAATAGGGATGATAATCCCTGCTCTGCCTTTTTTTTTGAGGATCAAATGTGTTATTGTATATGAAAATGCTTTCTAAACTGGAAAGATATAAGGTATTAATAATATTATTATTGCAGATACTTTATAATTATCCAATGTTGCCTTCTCTTCACTCACACAGCCACCACCTTCACATGCAGGTTCTCATCACCTCATGCCTGCACTATTGAGTACTATAGTCTTCTTCTTTTTCTTTTTAAATTAATTTTTTTATTTTTAGTTTTCAACATTCATTTCTATAAGATTTTGAGTTCCAAATTTTCTCCCCACCTCTCCCCTCCCCCCACCCCAAGATGGTGTGCAGTTTTATTAGTCATGTTGTAAAGAATTAGAACCAGTGGGAGAAACCACAAGAAAGAAGAAACAAACAAAAGGAAAAAGAGAGAGAGCAAATAATATGCTTTGATCTACATTCAGACTCCACAGCTGTTTTTTTTTTTCTGGATGTGGACAGAATTTTCCATCATGAGTCCTTTGGCATTTTCTTGGATCCTTGTATTCCTGAGAAGAGCTAAGTCTATCAAAGTTAGTCATCGCACAACATGACTGTTACTGTGTACAATGTTCCTCTGGTTCTGCTCACTTCACTCAGCATCAGTCCATACAGGTCTTTCCAGGTTTTTCTGAAGTCAGCCTGTTCATCATTTCTTATAGCAAAATAGTATTCCATTACATTCATATGTCACAACTTGTTCAGCCATTCCCCAGTTGATGGGCATTCCCTCAATTTCCAATTCTTTGCCACCGCAATAAAAATAAATATTTTTGTACATGTGGGTCCTTACTCTATTTTTTATTATCTCTTTGAGATATAGCCCTAGAAGTGCTATTGCTGGGTTTTGGGCACAGTTCCAAATTGCTCTCCAAAATGGTTGGATCAGTTCACAACTCCACCATCAATGCATTAGTGTTCCAATTTTCCCACATCTTCTGCAACATTTATAATTTTCCTGTTTTGTCATGTTAGCTAATCTGATAGGTGTGATGTGGTACCTCAGAGTCATTTTGATATGCATTTCTCTAATCAATACTGATTTAAAGCATTTTTTCATATGGCTATAGATAGCTTTAATTTCTTCATCTGATAATTGCCTGTTCACATCCTTTGACCATTTATCAGTTGGGGATTGACTTGTAATCTTTTTTTTTTTTTGGCTAGGCAATGGGGTTAAGTGACTTGCCCAGGGTCACACAGCTAGTAAGTGTTATGTGTCTAAGGCTGGATTTGAACTCAGGTCCTCCTGACTCCAGGGCTGGTGCTCTATCCACTGCACCATCTCACTGCCCCAAATGACTTGTATTCTGATAAATTTGACTTAGTTCTCTACATATGTTGGAAATGAGGCCCTTATCAGAGACACTGGTTATAAAAATTCTTTCCCAGTTTTCTGCTTCCCTCCTAATCTTGGTTGCACTGGCTTTGTTTGTGCAAAAACTTTTCAATTTAATATAATCAAAATTATCCATTCATGCCATAGTCTTCTAATGGCCTCTTGGTTTCAAGTCCCTCTTCCCTCTAATCCATCTTCTACTCTGCTGCCAGATTGATTTTCCTCAAATACAAGTCTGTCCGTGTCACTTCCCTGGTTCAGTAAACTCCAGTGGTTTTCTGTCACCTCCAGGACCCAATATGAAGTTTTCTGCTTGGCATTCAAAGCCTCTTACAGGCGGCATCTTCCTGCCTTTCTCCTCTTTACTTCCCTCCCTGTACTATACCATCCAGTGACCTTTGATGCTTAATGTTCCATGAATGTAGCATTCCCTGTCCTTGACTGTCCCCCGTTTCCCTGTCCCTCGTTCCTGGAATTCTCTTGCTCCTCATCTCTGCCTCCTGGCTTTCCTCAGGTCTCCACTAAAGCTTGCCTTCTCCAAGAAGTCTTTCTTAGTCTCCTTTGATCTTACTGCCTTCCCTGTCACGTTATCTTCATGTTAACCTGTCTGTATCTTGCTCGTGCAGTTTACCTGCTGTGTCCCCTGTCAGACTACGAGCGCCTTGAAGGCAGGAACATTGTGTTTGTCTTTTGTTGCATCTCCAGCATTTAGCATCGTGCTTTAAAAAATATATATATATTATTTTGGAAATTCCAATGCTTAGCACAATGCCTGGCACATCCTAGGCACTTAATAAATGCTTGTTCACGTGACTTGATTTCCCTGGCTTTCTCCAGTGCTTGGAATGCTCTGCCACCTTCTGGCTTCCTTCAAGACTCAACTCAGGTCTACCTTCTGCAGGAGGCCTTTCCTGGGTCTCCCCTCCCACCCTCAGAGATTCTTTTCATTTGCATACATCCACATGTATATTCTATGTATTCATAGCTTATATATAGCTATTTGCACTCCATTCCCCCCATTAGACTGTGTGCAAAGGCAGGGGCATTGCGTCTGCCTCTTGGCATATCTCCAACATTTAGCATAGTAAGCGCTCAATAAAATAAATGCTCGTTGATTGACTGATTAACAATGAAAGTCGTGATAAACTTTTTGCTATGATTATTGTTTACAGCAAATGGCATAAAACAAACCCTCTTAAATATGAAACCAAAAGGTAAATCTGGTGTTTGGGAGTGGTTCTGTCAGCTGGGTCCCCTCCAGTCACCCCGCCTAAGTCTGAAGGAAGCACAATGCGGTCAGTTTAATATAGGGGTCTGCTTTCCTCTTTTCTGTCTTGTGACCCTTTTTCCTGCTGCCTCCCAGCTCCCTCCCTCCCCCCTCCCCAGTCCCTTCCTCCCACCTTCTGTGGAAGGGAAGAACTTTATGGAATCCGAGTCCTGAGATGCCTCATTCCAACATCTGTGCAGGGAACATGTTGGAAGGGTGCAGTGAATCTTGACCTCTTTGAGCGCCATTCCTTCCTCTGGGTTCACCTTCTTCTCCATGTGGTTTTGAGTATGTCCAGAGTCAAGGGAGGGGGGAGGAGGCAGTTATTTATTCACAGGCTCCAGAGGTCATTGTCCAGGCTCAGGGAGGATGCTGCAGGAGATTTATAGCATCTGGAAATAAATTCCTCACATCAGCCATCCTGGAGAGGATATGGCTTGATGCTGGTGCTCAAAGGAGGGGCTGAACTTGGCCTTCTGTGAGTTCTTCAGGACACCCCAGACTCCTGTAAGGTCATGATTGAAGACTGTGAGAATCTTTATTAGTTTTTCTTTGTCAATGACCTTTACAGTCATTCTTCTTGAGTGGCATGGTTTTATTCTTGCATTTTCAGGCCCGGCAACAGCAACCACCCAGCCAGCACCTCTCAAAGCCAAGAGCCAATGATGCCCTGAAAATGAGGGCCTCTGTCCGAATGACCCGATACCTGGAGTCTTGGGGAGCAGCCCGGCCCTTTGCGTCTCTCAATCACAGGGAGAGTCTAAGCACTGACATCCTCATCCCCAAAGTGAAGCGACCAAAGGTGAGACCCCTCTGACATCCCCTTTTTACCAAAACCCAAAGACTTGGCATCTGTGCAACTGGTGGCCTGCCATATGACTTCTGGGGAGATGCTATGGTGTGGTGTGCTGAGAAGAACCATGGGACAAAGAGCCAGGAGTTCTGAGTTCTAATTCTAACTCTACCAAGTTGGCCAGTCTCATCAAACATTTATTAAGTGCTCGCTGTGCCATACATTGGGGATACAAAGAAAGGCAACAGGGTCTCTGCCCTCAAATGCCATGCCTTCTAATTGGAGAGATACCATGTGAATAACTCAGTACATACAAAACATATACAGAGTAGATAGATGGGAATCTGAGAGGTGAAGGCAATAGTGGTGGGGAGGTTGGAGGGGAGAGTAGGGAACCAGAAAGGCCTCCTGCAGAAGGTGTGACTTGAGCTTTGAACTCCAGGTTCCCCACCTTTAGCACGAAGAGGATAATTCTTGCCTTCACTACCTCATGGACATGACATGAAGGTCAAATGAAATAATTCAATTAAAGCATTTAGTAAGCCCCTGTCAGCAAGGTACTAGATACTGTACTAGGTCCTGGGAATTCAAAGACTAACATGAAAAACTGGTCCCTCCTGTGCCAGAGCTTATCTCCCAGTGGAGATCACATGAGGAAGTGCAAAGTTGGCAGTATTGCTAATAACGTTCAGTGATTTGCTTTGAAATATTTATCTGGACATTTCATTTTACATTCTAGTACTATTGCTGACACTGCCTCATGCTTTTTCTGGGCCCAGGGTGCAATGCTAACCCAATGGGTGGGACATGGGGGGTTTTGGGTGCTGATGCCTGGTCATCCTCAGAGGGAGCTGGTTCCTTACTCACTTCACATTTCTTTGGTGCTTTTCCAGTTATGGTGTTATTGCACCTGAGATCTCATTAGATACTCACGACAGTCTGGGATTGTGGGAGGGCAGATATACATCATCTTCTCTTAGAGATGAGTAAACTGAGGCTCAGAGGCTGCCCAAGTGAGTCACCGAACCCAAACTTGAATGTCTGCAGACATCACAATCTGGTGCTGTTCATGCTAGTTGGGGTAGGAGTGGGTTGGCTTATCCAGGGAAGTTGGACTTAGCAGAGGCTGAGTCCTCATCATAGTGGTGCCAGTCTCATTGTCTTGGGCCCCTGTGGTTTTTGGATGACCCTCTGTGGCAATGGAGGAGGTATAGGGTATGTTTGAAGACTTTGTTTCTCCTACCCCACCTTGGGTGTTTTTTCATTTTACTTGTTAAATTCTTGGTTCATGGGGATGGGGGATGCTGTCTGGGTTTCACAGGGCAGCTCAGATCATCCCTGGCTTGCTTACCTTTCAGGATGTGGCATGTTATCACCATGTTGTGAAACCATTTTCAGTTTTGATTTCTTGCCTCCTTTTAGACAATCCCCTTACGGCGTCACAGGGATGCAGATAGGTATGTTTAATTCTCACTTCTTCTCTCTGCCAGGCTGAGCCCTCCCCTGTCTTCCAAATACTGGCTGCCTTCTGTTAGCACTGAACTTTCCAAAGCGCTTCCCTTCCAAAGGCCTTAAGAAGGAGGCAGTGCATTTTCCTAATTCAACATCAGTGGCCCTTCAAGGCCCTGTGATTTTGTCAGTGTGGTGATCCCTCCTTTCAGCACAGATTACACAAGATACCTACCTGTATTCCGTAGGTGATCTTTGTGAGCTGCTCAGGTCAACAAAATGTCACCATGCTTGGTGGCCAGCCTTCTGGTGATGCTCCTGCCTGGTCCTTGGGTGCCAGACACACAGGTTGAATCGCTGAGCCTGCGCTAGAATGTTTTTCAGCTCAGTAGGACCTGCCATCATTTTGTGATTTGCTGGCAGAGTTTTTGAGAGCTCAGGGTTACCTCCTTGCCACAATGAGGCCCCAAAAGAGGAATGTGGTGCATTTTTGTAGATTGAGAAAATTGAGCCTCAGGGTCACTAGTGTATTCCTTTAAGTAGCTAGATCACGGAATCAAAGGTTTAGAGCTGGAAGGGACTTTAAATGCTAGGGAGCCCAACACCCTCAATTGTACCAATGAGGAAACGGGCGCAGAGAAGATTAAGGTTAATGCAGAGAAGAAACATCAGAGGCAGGATTTGAATCCAAGTCCCTTGGCTCTTGAGTCAGTGGGTTCGACTCCTGCCACAACTCAGTTAGTTATGCGGGAGGTAGGGCTTAAACTTGGGGCTTTTAACCCCTGAGGCCAGTATTCTTTCTCCTATCCATATGACTTTTCAGCTCACTCTCTCTGGAAAGTTTGTCCTGACTAATTCCCCAAGGTCCCACCATTCTAGAATATTCCCAGTGCAAGCGACCCATCTCCCCCCCCCCCCACTGCTCATTACTGATACAGAGCCCTCATATAATCGTCTCTTGGCAATGTTGACAGAGTTGGTTGTAGAACATATGGCTGTAATTAACACCATACTTTTCTGCATGTGGGGATTTTTCCACTATGTTTTCAGCCTTTCCCATTAGCTCTGAGGGCAGGGATTATATCCCCCATTTCCTCTCTCCTGTTCCAGGTGGTCAGGACTGGGGCCGCCCTATCCCTGCTGGTGATCCAATGGTCTCTAGCATTTATTCCTGGCCACCAGGCATTGCATGTCTTTTAACCAAAGAGTGTTGACTTATTAAGTGCCTGCTATACGTCAGATGCTGTGCTGAGGCACTGAGGTTACACAGCCAGAAAATGACACGTTCCATGGCCTCATATCCAGGAGAATTAATTGAGTGCTTGCTGTGGACCAAGTCCCCTAGCCCAGGTTCTTGTGGCAGAGAGGAGTAGGGTATAGTCCCTGCCTTCTAAGGAAGTCGTGGGTGGTTTTCATTCTCTTCTTGCTCTTTGTTCAACCCAAGGAAGCCTTACTGACTTCAAAACAAACCCAAGCCACAAGGCAGATGAGACACCAACCTGTCAGGTCATCTCATTCATCCCTCTACGGCTGGGCAAGGCTACCTGACTTGGTGGTGGGAGGTGTAGGGGGCCTTCTGGACACTCACTTGTGCCTTTGGCCAGGGAGGACCAGGAGTAGACTGGGTCTCATTTCAGAAATGCGTCTCCAAGGGGGAAGGCTGAGGAGGACACCTATGATGAAGAGCTGATGTTGGCCATTGAAGGGCTCAGCTTGGCCAGGTGAGACAATTATGGATTTCCCCCTTCCCAGAAAGGAGCAAACTCAATAGCTGGGCCACTAGAATCAAATCCTTTCAAAACTGAATCCCAACTTGAATGCACAAATATACTCACAGATCAAGAGCTAGAAGGTATCTTAGAAGCCATCCAGTCCAGCTCGCTTGTTTGGCAGGTGAGGAAACTGACATAGAGTGACTCATCCAGGGTCATATAGTCAAGTGTCTGAGGTGGGAATTGAACTCCAGTCTTCCAGATTCCCAATCCAGTATTGTCTACTACACCAAGCCATCTCGATGGGCTGGAGACATTCTCTCAGTAATTTTAGGGCTGGAACTAGTGCCCTAAGCTCTTGTTTCTAGGGAAGATAATTCTCACCTTTCAGTCTGGGTGGTAATTTCTTCTCACCTTTTCCTCTCTTCTGTGTTCTGCCTTTGTGACATCTTTCTTCTTTCTTTTCTCCCTTTTCTCTGGGGCCTGTTTTATCTCCATCTTTTGGATCTAAGAATGGATTCTGGCTCAACCTAGGTGGTTCTGTCCTACCTAGGAATGGATGGGCATATGTTGAGGGGAGGAGGCTGTGTCTGCCCCAGGGAGGAGGCTGTGTCTGCCTCAGGGAGGAGACAGAGTGCAGTGCCTTTCTTAGTACAGGAGGAATTTGACTTACTTTCCACTTCTCCCATCTCTTCTTCCACGGCTCAGTTTTAGGTCCTGTGAAGCTGAGTATATTGAGAACCTGTGCTTCTGCCTCTGGTATTGACTTTCTGTTTTTATTTTGAGACTGATGGGACAGAGCATGGAAGGGATGAAGTTAACTTTTCCTGGAGTCCTGACCCAAGCACTTGGGAGAGTGCTGGGCCTGGAGTCTTAAAGACCAGAGTTCAGATCCATCTTTATATATTTACAAAGTGTGTGACCTTGAACAAGTCACTTAACCTCTATTTGCTTCAGTTTCCTCAGCTGTTAAAAAAAAAAGTAATAATAGCACCTATCTCCCAGTGTTGTTGCAGGGATCAAATAAGATAATATTTGTAAAGATAATATTGTAAAATGCTTAGTACTGTGCCCGGCACATAGGAGGCTATCTGTTAATGCCATCATCATCATCATCATCCTCTCCATATCATCACTTATGAAAGCATGATCCTGACTCTTGGGAAATAGCAAGTTGGTGCCATTTAGTCAGGAGAAGCCAAGCCCACATACTCTAGAGACTGTGGATAGTAGATTTTCTAATTCTCTTTTCTTCAGCTCTGCTAATTTCTGTTTTCCAGCCTCCACCCAACCCTCTCTGACACATGATTCTTGAGCCTGTCATGGGTGTGATATTGCAGCTTTCAGATTCATACCCACATAGAACACTAAACTGGCCAGAAATCATTAGAGATTATCAAGTTGGACCTCTTTATTTTCTGTGGGTAGGAAATCGAAGTGGATAGGGGCAGTGAATACATAGGATCATAGATCTCATGCTGGAAGGAACCTTAGAGACCTTGTGGTTCAACCCTCCCATTTACAGATGAAGAAACTGAGGGAGGGGAAATGAGTTGCCTAAGGTTACATATAAGGGCAGTTAGGTAGCCCAGTGGATAGAGAGCCATGCCTGGAGTCAGGAAGACTCGAGTTCAAATCCGGCTTCAGACACTAGCTATGTAACCTGGGTAAGTAAGTCATTTAACCCTGTTTATCTCAGTTTCCTCATCTGTAAAACGAGCTAGAGAAGGAAATGGCAAACCACTCCAGTATTTCTGCCAAGAAAATCCCAAATGGGGTCACAAAGAGCTGGATGTGACTGAAATGACCGAACAGCAATGGCACAGGTTATAGGAGAAGTTAATGGCACAGCCCAAACTGAACCCCACAGCTCTTCCTGCCCCTGCCCCGGTAGTCCTTCTGTCTCCCCCAGAACCCAGCCTCTAGCCATGTCCCCATAGTCCTACCCAGCTTGGAGCACCGTGCATGTGTCATCCTGAGTCTTTCGTGTGCTCTGTGTTCATGCCCACACCTTGTGCTTACACAGACCTTGCTGCTGCGGTAATTCTGATGACTTCTACACCATTGGGACATTCTTTGTGGAGAAGAACTTTGAGAAGGAGGTAAGTGAGGATTGGTAGCCCAGAAGCCATGATTTGACAGGACCTACTTCAGACCCATTGTGTTATGTGGCCACAGTGTCTAAACTTCTACCATTAGGGAACTTTCTTTAGTTTTTACAGGCTTCTTCTCTTCTTCTCCCACCCCATTCCCCTTCCTCCAGCCTCGATTCTATTATTAAGAAGGTAGCCCCCCACCTGATAAATGGTCGCACCTTAAGCAGTGGAAATGGAGCACAGGACTGATGTGGGGAGGTGGAATAGAGGGGTGGGGCAGGACCCCAGAGGCGATAGAAAGACTGCAGAAACTGGCCATGTTTAGAGGTTCTCCATCGCCAATGGCCATCTGGCCCTCATTGGGATCCATCAGAAGAAACCTCAGAGCTCATCCCTCATTTTACAGATAAAGAAATCAAGAAAGGAAAGAAAGGTTAAGTGACTTGTGTTAGGTCATAGTAAGTGGCAGAATCTGGATTTGAACCCATGTCCTCTGCAAATTTTGTCACCTTTCCTCTAATTCTATGCTATGTCTAAGGAAGTTAAACCTACAGCGCACAAAATCCAAAGTCCTACAGAGGTGGCTTGTGGATTATATCTATTACTGTTTCAGTCATTCCTTTTTCATATTAGTAGTTGCTGTCTTTGGTCTTAGAGGAGTTCTGAATCCTTTACTCTTTGGGTGGGATGGTCCCCCTGTAGTTTCTTTGCTCAGGAATTGGTAGGAGTGATTGGATGGGTTAGTTCATACAAAGGGACCCCAAAAGGTACCCTTCTTTGCTAATCAGTGTTTATTGATTGGCTGACCACTGTGCGGGGTAGGCTGCTGTTCTCCTATTTCTCTTTATCCCTTGGCCTTCTCTTTCAGTACCGAACCATGCCCATCCCCAAGGTCCGTCATTACTTTGCCTGTGCTGGCCTCGTCTTCTTTTGTCTCTTGCTCATCCACACCTTAGTGATACCCAAGTAAGTTCGGGTGCTGTGAGGATCCTGGAACCCTAGAATGGGCAGAGCTAGAAGGGGTCTTAGAAGTCATCAGATCCAGTCACTTAATTTTATAGAGGAAGAAGCCAAGAACCTATAAGAAAGAGGAAAGAGCTTGGCCAGAGTCCCAGTGGGTGGTGGGCCTTGGCTAGAACTTGGGTCTCCTGACTTGTAGGCCAATACTCCAATCTCATCTCTGGCTATGCCTATCTTAGACTCCCAGGGGAGCATGGGAGTACCCATAGGGCCTGGAGTTAGGTGTGAAACCCCATGAGGCCTCCCAAAAATAAAAAAGTAAAACCAAGTTATTTCGGGCCAGAGGGTTCTGGCCGTGCCTTATGAGAAGGCTGTGGGGTAGAGTTGGGGGCTGGGACGTTTTGTGGGCTTGACCAGAAAGAAAAGTGTTACGGACACAAAGTCACCCATATATTTTGGAGGAATAATGTGTATTATTTGCATGTCTCATGTCTGAGTTATAAATGCTTCTCGTTGCTTGGACTTGGGGAGGGAGAGGCTAGCCTGAGAGAACAGATGGAAGCGGCCTTGTCTGTCTCTCAATATCAGCCTCAGGGTTCAGGCTCTCTCGGGTCGCCCAGGGGTACCCCAGCAACATGTTTGTGTCTTTGGCTTTAGGACTGCCAAAATGGGAATCTCCTTTGGAATTGTGGCCTGTGTGATACTGATGGCCTTGGGGGCATGTTTTGCTGATGATTTCCTGGTGAGTGTCTGAATCCTTCCTGCTAAATTCTTTCTATGTGGTTCCTTCCTTTGGGTGCTGACTGACTGGCTCTGGGTGGCGCAGTCCAACACTGTGGCATCGTGGTTGTCCATGTGCTGAGGGTTTGTGCTGATGTGGTCTGGGGCTCAGAGGAAAGAACAGGGCTCCATTCAGTGCCCCTTCCTGCAGGCTGGTGCTGGGCGTGGGTTGAACAGTCCTCCTGCCCCTCCCTCTGTCCTGGATGTACTACTTCCTCAGGGACATGCATCAGGAGGCACTTTTGTCCTGAGCCTTCCCTGCCTTCCCAAAGTAGCTCTGACCTTCCTTCCCTCCAAGAAGCTTTCTCTGATTAACTCCACTCTACACTACTCAGGTTGAATAGAGTGCTGGATTTGGAGTCAGGAAGACCTGAGTTCAAATCCTTACTCTGACCTTAATAGCTGTGTTGACACTGGGCCAAGTCATTCAATTTCTCTGTGCCTCAGTTTCCTCTTCTGTAAAATGAAGGGACTTGACTTGACCTCTAAGGTCTCTTCCAGGTCTAAGTCTGTGATTCTTTCCATAGTCGTGGCTTTTCTGTGCATACATCCTTTCTCTTAGCCCAGTGCCAGGCACGCCTTAAGTGTTTAACAAATGCTTGTCGAGCTGACTCTTCAAAAAGATGAAAACCAGGGTGGGAAGCTATAGCTTTTCTTATAGGCTCCCTGAGGGGAGGGGTTATCTCTACCTGGAGGCTCCCTGAGGGCAGAAACTCTTCCTTCCTCTTTCTCTCTCCCAGTCTCCTGCCTAATCTAGGCTTCTCTGCTAACCACCTCCCCACTCCCCCCATTGGGGATGTTCCATGTTTGATGGCTTTGGGTGACTCCCCCTTTGCTCATGTCTCAGAAGTGCTGCCCGGAGCAGTCATGCCTGTGTGCCCTCAGGACCATCTCTGAGAAGGTGGAGACAGAGCCGCTGTTGAGACTATCCTTGGCTGTCCTGACCGTCGGCAGCCTGCTGACTGTGGCCATTGTGAATCTGGTAGGTCTTGTCTGCTCTGTCCATCTCTGGAGGCATCTAGAGTCTCTGTCTAGCACCTTACTCCCATGCCTGATGCCCAGAGCTTCCCTTCCCAGTGACAGCAATGTCTCCATGTATGTGTCCTGGGAATATAGCAGTCCTGGGACCTGCTTGTGGCCAGATGACCCTAAATCTGGAAGCCAGAGTCTGCTTCTCTAGAGGACATCCTACCTTGTGGGGCTGTGGGCTGAGGTTTCCAGAGGCTCAGGCTGCTTCTGTTCCTCAGGGAAGGGTCAGCAAAGGTAAGAGCAGGTTTCCTCCCTTCTGTGTTGCCCCTGGACACACGCTTTGGCAGAAGGGTGCCAGAGCAGCTCAGACTGGCTCCTGAGAACTCATTGAAGTTTCAGTCTTAGCATTCTCATTTACACCTACAAGTCAGGGCTTTATTTATATATTTATTTATAGATTATTTTGTTCATTTTCTAGACTTCAGAAAGCGGTGGGGAAAATGCTAATAATGCAAATTAAACTTAAAAGTATGTTCTGTGTACATTTCTTCCCCCACCCCCATCTCATCAGTAGTTAAATATCCCCCAAGACACCCCTGCTACTATGGCTCATAGGGACGTTCTTAGACCCATAGAATGTAAAAACAGAAAGTAGAATGTCAGAGCTTCAGGGGACCTCAGAATATAGGATGTTAGAGACCATCTTGTCCAACCTCATTTTATTTTATTTTTTTTGGCAAGGCAATTGGGGTTAAGTGATTTGCCCAGAGTCATACAGCTAGTAAGTGTTATATGTCTGAGGCCAGATTTGAACTCAGGTCCTCCTGACAACACGGCCAGTGCTCTATCCACTGCACTACCTAGCTGCCCCTCAACCTCATTATTTTAAAGAGGAAACTGAGACCCAGAGAGAGGGAGTGACTTGTTTTAGGTGATATAGTGAAAAAATGGGAAACCCTGGGTTTAGAATGTAGAGGTCTTGAGTCCATGGTCCAGGAAGGGGCCTTTTCGCTATGCCAGTCTGATTTTAAGTTCGCAGTGAGAGTTAAGGAAGGAATAATGCATTAGGATCTATAGTCCTGGCCTTTGTGGTATGAGCAGGAACCAGAAGTAGGACCAGTCTAAGGCCCCACAAGGGATTCTGTCCTAAAGCATTGCTCTCTTCCACAGTTACTGACACCACCCGGGGAACTCTGTGCGAACTTCACTGAGCTGAGCCGTGGGAACATCACCAATAGTCAGTGTCCCGTCCCTCTGGTGAGTAGCGATTGGGTCATGGACCCCGGATGGGGATCAGGATCCCATATTTCCCAGCTGAACACCCCATGGCTCAGTCTTCTGGCTCCTTCAGCTGCCTTTCGATATTTTTGGCCAAGTACAATCAGCTCTCACTCATAGGACAAAAGCAGAATGTACAGACATGGATAATTAAAAACAGTTTTGATAATACCAGCATTGGTGAACAGTTCCTAGGACATAAAACATTGGAGCTGTAAGGGACCCTAGAGACCACGTAGGTCAGTTTCCTCATTTTATAAAGGAGGAAACTGAGGTCTGGGGAGAGGAATTGTTTTGCCTGTGGTCACGCAGCTACTTGCTGACAAAATTAGGGTTAGTCCGATACAATACTTTACTTCCCCTTCACAACCAGACTTCTAGAAAAAGCTGATTAGATTCACTGCTTCCATTTCCTCACTGTTTGCCTCTCCACCCCCTTGCAATTTTATCGGAAACTGCAGTCTCCACGGTGAACGATCATTTCAGTTGCTAAGCCCAATAGGCAGCTAGATGTCAGGGTACGTAGAGTGCTTGCTGTCCGTTGGAGTCAGGAAGACCTGAGTTCATGTCTGGCCTCAGACACTAGCTGTGGGCTAGTGTGCTGGCCAAGTCACTTAACTGCTGTCTGCCTCAGTTTTCTCAACTGTAAAATGGAGATGGTAACAGCACGTACTTTGCAAGGTTGTTGTGAGAATCAAATGAGATACCCGTAAAGCATTTAGCGCAGAGTCTGGTGCCTCGTCGTCATTTAATAAATGCTTATTCCCCTCCCTTGCCCTTTTCTCAGTCCTTACCCTTCTTGAGGTCTCTTTAACTTTTGGCGGTATTGACCGTCACTCTCTCCTCCTGGATACTCTTTCTGCTGGCTGTCATGATGCTGCTCTCCTGGATTTCACCTCCCGCCTAGGTGACTGTTCCTTCTCATTCTTCTTTGCTGGATTACATCATCTCTCACCCCTCAGCTGTGCTAGGTGGCCCCCAAGGCTCTGTCCTGGGCCCCCAGTGAGGGGGAGGATATTTTCCATCCTATGGCACCTTCCAGCATCTGTCATCTATTCAATTCATTCCCTCTCCTAGCCCTGAATTTCCACTCTTATTCACCCCCACCTCACACTCTGTTCAAAATGAACTGCCTGGTCTGAGTACCCAGGTGTCCCGTGGGGTGCCGGATCAGTGTAGGCGCAGCTGTGAGGGGATCAGCAGTCGCTGTTCTACTCCTGTAGGCTACTCCCTGCCTCCATAGTAAACTCAGCCCTGGCCTTGCAGCCGCTCTCCTCCTCTGCCTTGAACCTCCACTGTGTCCTCTGAGAACCTTCCTGCATTGTACTGGAAAGAGCTCAGGATTTGGTCAGAAGACCTGAGTTTGAATTCACTTGCCCTCTCCATCCCTCAGCTTCCTCAGCTGTCCATGAGTGGGTCAGACCAGCCACCCTCCAGGGTTTTAGATTGATTATCCTGTGATGCCATTGGAAGGTTTCTTCCATCTGCTGGTGCATCTCTAAAGCAGCCCATTCCTCGTAAAGGCTGGTGGCTTCTCTCCCACGGGGCCAGGAGGAGGGCTGGGGCATCCTCCATGCTCCCCAGGCCGATTCCAGATCCTTCCTCAGCTCCCATCACTCGGCAGTCACCTCCTCCTTTTGGTTCACTCTGTCCTGACCTGATTTTCATTTTCTCATAACTGTTATCTGTGGATCAATTTTCCTTCCCCAGTAGGTTCAGTACCTCACTCGCCATCTTCTTTTCCAATGTCCCTAGCCTCCCATTCCTCAACATTCCCAACTCTCATTACCCCTGCTTCCCGTCTATTGCAACCAGGCCCTGGAATAGATGGTGCCTGTGGCTTCGTCCTGCTCCTTCCTGAGTCCTTGTGACCTGTGAGATGGAATAGCAGAGGGAACAAACCAGTACTGGACCTGAGGTTTCAGTGCTTCGACATCCCTGTTGTGCTGCGTTCCCTACCCGCCTCTCCACCCCGCCCAGGCTCGGCTGACGTAGTCCTGGTGCTGGGGTTTTAAGTTTCCCTTCTGCCTCAGTCATCCTCCTCTACCCTTCCTCCCCTTCAGTTCAATTCTTGTTGATTTGGCCTCCCTAACATCTCTAGCATCTTTCCTTTTTTCCACACCCCTCCCCCATCCCTCCTTGTCCCCTGCCCTCAACACCTCTCACCTGGCCTGTTGCTGCAGCCTCCCAGTTAAATTCCCAGCTGCCACTCTCTCCTCTCCCCAACCCATCCTCCACCAGTTGGCCAAAATAACCTTGCTATGGCACAAGTGTGACCTTGTCTCTCCCCAGCTCAAGAACCTTCAGTGGCTCTCTGTTAACTCTAGGATAGAATATCAGTTCTTCTCCTTGGCGTTTTAAAGACCTTCACAGTGTGGCCCTTGCCTCACTTTACACAGTTCGCTTTCTAGTCAGTCTGACCTGTTTGCTTTTCTTGGACATGGCCTTCCATCTTTTGTTTCTGTGACTTGTTATGGACTCTCTCCCCCATGCCTAGCACACATCGCACCTCTTGGGATCCTTCTTCAAGGCTCAGCTCAGGTCTCTTCCTACAGGCAGCCTTTCTTGATTTTCCCCTTTTGTTTATGCTCTGCCCTTCCCTAAATTATCTTTGTCTACCTGTTGCATTTTGCATCCCTCCCCCCTCTTTGTTTTGTCTTTGCATTCCCAGTTAATAAAATTCTTTGTACATAGTAGGCATTTAAGGAGCGTTTGCTGAATTGAAATCACAGGTCCTCTAGAAGAGACCACATTCACTATCTAGACAAATCAAAGAGAGATAGACATTGGAACTGGCCCTAATAAGCTGGGGGTGGGGTGGGGAGAAGATTTGTCCCAAGATGGTGGAGAGTTCTGAGCACACTGTATCTGAGAGCAGCCTCCGGCAGCCCTGCCCCTGAGCCCTCCTTTCCTCTCCTAGTACTATGCCTACAGCTGTATCCTGGCCTTCATCGCCTGCTCCATGTTCCTCCGGATGAGCCTGGAGCTGAAGGTGGTGATGCTGACGGCCTCTGTCATCGTCTATCTCATCATCTTCAACACTGACTCAGTTCTGGTTTGGAGCGAATTCCTAGGCACAGATCGGGACAGGCTCAGTAACTTCACTCTGAACAACACGTCACAAAGTTCATCCAGGTTTGAAAAAGTTCCCTTTCTTGGCTTCTTTCGATCTATGTATGGGCACATGTGGTGTGTCTAAGACCTCAAAGGCCTTTTATTTGAGGTGATTTTTTTTTTCAGCATTTACCTGGATTTTTAAAAATCCTTTCTTCTTTTAAGGAAGCTTTTATTTTTAAAAGCATCACCTACATTTGGGGATAGCCTATTTTTGGACCAGTATAGTGATTAATAACACAAATTGTTATTCATACATTTGTATAATCGTTTCTGCTTTTAAAAGCACAGTCTCACTTGGGTGTGAAATTCTATAAGGTGGTGAGTGGCATTTTCCCCATTTTATGCATGAGGAAACTGAAGCACAAGGGAATAAGGGATTTACCCCAAATTATCCAAATTGCAAAGTTTAAAACTTGAGAGGGCCTTAGGGAACATGTAGTCCAACCTAGGCAATTGGAGCCGACAGAGGGGAGGTTATTTGCCAGTGTTTGCAGAGCTGAAACTTGAATCCAGAATTGATTCTAATGCTGCCTCCCCCAGCTAGTAAGTGGCAGAGATAGGATGGGTTTCCTGACTTCCCAGTCTGGCACTCAGACCTGTGGAGTGTTTTAAGTTTCTTCCTGGGTTCTGGTGGAGTCCCAGTCTTTCCAGAGGCCTTCACGTCCATCCTCTTGCCCTTTGGTGGGGCTGCAGGGGCTCCCCTTGACCCAAATAGATTTGGAGGAGTGAGCGAGGGAGTGGAGGTGCTGATATTCCTACTTCCAGCCTAGGCCAGGGAGGGCATCTTGGTAGCCACCACTATGCCTTCTGGGGCCCCAGGGCCTTCTGGTACTCTGCTGGGTTCCTGCTTTCCAGGGGAATTGGTGAATGGCAGTAGTAGTGGGCTACATATCAGTTCTTGGGAAAACACCACTTATGTCTGTCATGCTAGATACATGCATCCAGGCCAGATTTGGGAATGAGGTACCCATGGGGTTGGCCTTCAGAGGATTCCCTGGGACTGGCTCTGTAGCTCTTGGGGGAGGAGGCTTTGACCTCCTAAGGGCTAAAACCTAAACCAGGCTGAATGTATGTGGGTCAGGGATTGTTGAACTTGAAATTGAGCTGTTATCAACATTAAGCTTGTGTGTCTCTGAGTAAATAGAAAGAATGTGGGATTTGGCGGGGTTGGGAGACTTGGGTTTGAATCCCAACTCTGACAATGTCCTGGTGACTTTGGATAATCATTCTGCTGAGTCTCACTTTTCCCTATCTATAAAATGGGAAGAACACATTTGTGGATTTTTGTTCTTTAAAGCACTAGATGAATGTGATAAATGTGTAAATTATCTGTTTTGCAATTTGGCTGGCTTTGTGTGTGTCTATCTCTGGTGGTGGGGGATTCTGTGAATATTTATAAAGCACATCAGAACTTTTCTGTGGAGTTATACACACACACACACATACACCCCCCCCACCCCTCCCTAACCCAGCCCTGTTTTTTTTTTTAGCATAGCTTAGAGGCCTTATAGTTCTTATTTTACATATGAGGAAACGGAAGGAGTAAACATGAGTTGTCTGGGGCTATATATGGGGGCAGCTAGGTGGCCCAATAGATAGAGTGCCAGGCCTGGACTCAAGAAGACCTGAGTTCAAATCTAGCCTCCGATATTTACTAGCTGTGTGATTCTGGGCAAGTCACTTAACTACTTTGTGCCTCAGTTTCTTTAACTGTAAAATGGAATTGTTGTGAGGATCATATGAAATAATAGTGCCTACTATGTGGCAGGCGCTTAATGAATATCTGTTTCCTTCTTTCTGTCCTATATCCAGTGGCTCAACTTCACGATTCATGAAAGATCCAAAAACAATGATCAATTTTTACCTGATCCTGTTTTATTTTACCCTTATCCTGCTGTCAAAACAGGTACAGTTTGCAAAGCCCCAGGATGCATCAATGTCCCTTATCCCTCTCCCCCACCCCAGAATTGCTGGGGCTTGTTACCTCAGATTTGGAATACAAAAGGGGAGACTCCAGTAGTGGGGAGGGGGGCTTGCAGGACAGCCCTAGCCAATTGTTGGTGACAAAGTGCTGGTATGTTTGACATCTGGAGATGTGTGTGTATGCCTTGTGGGGTAGCCATATTCTTTTAAACATTTAGAAAGGGTATTGGTGGCTCAGTAGCGCCTTCTCTCCCATCCTTTTTCTGTCCCAGTTTCTCATGTGAATGTGACTGTCTGTGGCCTTTATTCCCCATCAGATGGGTGGTGGGGACATCTTTTGAGGAGGGACACTGTCTTCTCAGACTGGGGACTCTCTGTGGGCAGGGACTCACTTCTCACCCTGCATCAGAGTAAGCGCTCCCCAGGTTCCCTGAGGGCGGAATGGTCTTCTCTCCCCACCTCCCTGTGATCCTGGGGTGGAGTACATTGAACCCAAAGGTGATGTTTCCTGGGCCTTTCTGCAGATCGATTATTACTACCGCCTGGACTACTTGTGGAAGAACAAATTTAAGAAGGAACAGGAAGAGTTTGAAACCATGAAGAATGTGAACCATCTGCTGTTGGAGAATGTCCTTCCTACCCACGTGGCCGAGCACTTCATTGGGGACAAGCTCACTGAGGTACGGGCCAGGGAGAGGCAGGCAGCAGTTACCTGGTGGCGAATTACAGATTTGTTGTGGGGGGTTTTCTGAGACGGTTTTGCTCTGACAGTGGTGGTCCACAAGCTGCAGGACCAGGCTGGAGCTGCTCATTTTCCCAAGTGTACCCACCCAAATCCCACTTCTGTCAGTCAGAGGAGCCTTTTGTCCAGTATGGAGGAACCTTGTGGCCCTGTCTTTTTTCCTGAGCCCCAGTGACACCCAAGAGGCTGAAAAGTGATGGGAGGGAGCTGCCAGCTTCCCTGTTTCTCCAAGTGATGATCTTTCTGGGAAGCCTGGCTGGAAGGGCCATACTTCAGATGTCCCGGGTTACAGGCCACAGGAAGGCTTTGACACGGGATAGATATAGGCAGTGGACCTGGGATTTCACTGGCATAAATAATCCTTCCAGGTGAGGAGACTCCCTCTGCCAGTGCAGGGAGGCACCTTCTCTGAAACTTTTAGTCAGAGAGAATTGCGTGGAGCACTGAGAGGTTCAGTCATATGCCCAAGATCACCCAGCCAGTGTGTGTCAGAAGCAGGGCTGGCTTCAAGGCCTGCACTCTATCCACTCCACCACAAAGAGGAAAATAAAAGCTCTCCTTTCAGAACATGGTACTTGTAGGAAGAGAGCTGCCATCATCATCATCATCATCATTGCCATTTCTGCTAAGAATAGCTGACATTTCTGCACTACCTTAAGGTTTACAAAGTACTTTCCTTGCCAAAAAAAAAAAAGAAAGGAAGAAAAAGAAGTTTTGTGGTGTTGCTAGAGCAGATATTACCATCTTCATTTTAAGCATGAGGATCCCAGACTCACGAAGATGATACAATTTTCCTAGAGTCTCCCAGCTAACAAAGGGGTTTAAACTGCAGTCTTTGGGCCCCAAGAGCAGAGCTCTTCCTCCTGGTCCCAGGACACCCACCCCAAACAGCTGCCTCACCTGCTGCCAGATGGTAGTGTTACCTTGGGATTCCTCTGTGCCCACCGCAGGGGGTTTCACATGGTGCTTAATAATCACAATACCAATGAGAACAAAAGTGCCTGAGACTTGTAACTGTGACCGATGCTTTACATTTTCTTCTTTGATCCTTACTGTAACCATATGAGGTAAGCAGAGCCAGTGTTCCCGTTTTACAGATGAGCAAACAGAGGCAGAAGGAGCTTTATGATCATTACTTAAGTTGGAAAAAAACTGGGCCCTAGTTCTCAGGCCAGAGCTCCTTCCACTGCATCTCCTTGTTTTCCAGAGAAGGCGCCTGATAGTCTGATGCATGCAGGCCTGGAGAGGTCTCCTGTGTCCCAGTGTCCTCCTGGGGTTGGGTCTTGGGCAGGCTCTGTGGGCGGGCGGATGGGAGGTAGGAAGTAAAATTTCCCTCTTGCTGCCCTCAGGACTGGTACCATCAATCTTACGACTGCGTTTGTGTCATGTTTGCATCCGTGCCTGATTTCAAAGTGTTCTACACGGAGTGTGACGTCAACAAAGAGGGACTGGAGTGTTTGAGGCTGCTAAATGAGATCATCGCTGACTTTGATGAGGTACCACTGAGGCTGTGGAGGCCAGGGGACTGTGCTCACAGTGCGGGGCAGTGGGGGGGAGGAGTAGAGGCACATGTCACCCCCCACGGGCTATCGCCAAACAGATTAATGTTTGCTTTGGGACATACTGGATGAAATATTTGTGTGCTGTATTAATACTTTCAGGTTCCTTTCCTAATTCCACTTGGCTCAGGTTGCTGTTAAAAGGTACCTTGCTGGGGCAGCGAGGTGGCACAGTGGATAGAGCTCTGCCTTGGAGTCAGGAGGACCTGAGTTCAAATCTGGCCTCAGGCACTTGACACTTACTAGCTGTGTGACTCTGGGCAAGTCACTTAACCCCAATTGCCTCACCAAAAAAAAACTAAAAAAAAAGGCACCTTGCCAGGATATACATTAACAGTGGAGAGAAGGGGCCAAGACAAATGCTTGGGTGCTTAAGGAGGATGGGGGTGGGAATCAGCTTAGTGTTTGCCATTATAAGAGCCATATCCATTTCTTTAGCCTGTTTATTGTCGTTGTTGAATCATGTCCTACTCTGTGACCCCATTTGGGGTTTTCTTTTAATGGAGTGGTCTGCCATTTCTTTCTCCAGTTCATTTGACAGATGAGGAAACGGAGGCAAATAGGGTTAAGTGACTTGCCCAGGTTCACAAAGCTAGTAAGTGTGTGAGGCCACATTTGAATTCAGGATGAATCTTCCTGACTGCAGGCCTGGTGATCTATGCCATATGGTGCCACCTAGTGGCCTTAGCCCTGTATGGTTTACGAAACACTACCACAGCCCTATTTTTGTGCTCATTCTACAGAGGTGGAAATTGAGGCTTAGCTGCGTTGTAGAGGGAAGGACACTGGCTTGCTAATCAGAAGACCTGGGTTTGAATCCCAGCGCTACCACTAACTCTCCAATTCGGACAAATACGTGGCCTTCCGTTAAATCTCAGTTTCCTAATTTGTAAAAAGAGTGGAATTGCCTAGATGATTCTTAAAGTTACTTCCAGACTGAATATGCTACAATTCTGTAATGATGTTATTCTCAAGGCCTCCAATAATCATATCACATGTCTACAGAATATTTCATAAATGACAAAAACAAGACCCAGGCAGGGAAAATCACTCTCCCAGAATTATACCACTGGTGACTCGAGGAGAGTTTACAGCTTTACAGTTAATGCCTGGCAGATGTTATCGTGGTAATACACATCTTCCCTTCTCTTTTCAGAGTTTCGAATGTTTGACAGTAATATTTTCTTTGGAGAGTGGGAGCAGCAGGGGTGGTCTTCCCCATTGGCAAAACTGAGTTCCAGAGTGGGGAGAAGACTGAGTGAGGCCAGGGTTCCCTATGCTCTTTTTCCTTAAGTTATATTTTTTCATTAAAACTGAAATAGCGAGGTGAGAATGGGGATGGGGTCCAAAATTGCTTTTTCATAAGGGAGGGATCTGAGTTATTTAGTGGAATTTCAGTTGGGAAGGCATGAGCCCCAGTGATGCTCATGGACAGCTTTCTGAAGATGGAGCATGGATGGGGCCAGTTTCCCACTAGGGAAGAGTCTTTGACATTCTTCTTTCCTTCCTTCCTACAGCTCCTGCTAAAGCCCAAATTCAGTGGGGTGGAGAAGATTAAGACTATTGGTAGCACCTACATGGCAGCTGCTGGGCTCAGCCTCACCCCTGGACAGGAAAATAACCAGGTATAGCCCCAAACTATCAAAAGTATAATAATTTAAAATAGGTTATTTGAATTATAAACAATAATAATAAGTGAGGTTAATTATAGAATTGTAAACCCAAAATTATATATATATTTTTTTTATAAAAGGAAGCCATATATATGAATTTCAGCAAAATTGTAATAGCATTTAAATTCTTTTTCTTTCTGGCCTTTTTCTCCTATGTCTGTCAGATTTCTTTCTTTCTTTCTTTTTCTTTCTTTCTTTCTTTCTTCTTTCTTCTTTCTTTCTTTCTTTCTTTCTTTCTTTCTTTCTTTCTGTTTCTCATTTTTTTTAATAGTCTTGGTATGATAATAACTCCCATTTCTCAATGCTTACAAAACCATTTCCTTACAACAACACTGTGAAGGAATACAGGCATAATTATTCCCATTTTGCTGATGAGGAAATAGGAGCTTAGAGAGATTGTGATTTGCATATGGTCATATAAACAGTTCGTAGGCAGGTGCTATTGTTGCTGCTTAACAATTCTGTGACCTTGGATGAGTCACTTGAGTTTTTTGGGCCTCAGTTTCTTCACGTGTAGAATGAAGTGAATATTTTATGGTCGTCAGTGCTGAAGTGGGTATTTGAATTTAGGTTTTCTGACTCCTACCTTTCTGTGCTGCTGTTCTGATTGTAACTTCCTTCATTCTGTAACATTTCTTTGTATTTTTAATATTTGTGATTTTTAAATGGTTCAGTAACATCCCAATGCATTGATACATCACAATCCATTCAGCCTTTCTCTAGTCCCTGAACCTTTAGGTTGTTGAAGTAGAGTGGGCAGGGCAGGGAGTGGGGACCCTTACCCTGTTGGCTGGCGTCCAGCAAGGGAGACAGTGGCAAAAATCTGAGTACTTTGGGCTTATCTCTTGGGTAATGCCTAATAGGTGTTGGGTAGGTCATCATCCTACCTGGCTAGATGACTTCAAAGTGGGGAGCCTTTTCCTGTCTCTATCTGCTTTCTGGGGCAGCATGGGCAGGGGCAGAATCAGGAGACAAAGCTCCCCACAGCGCTTCAGGACCAGACATGGCACCCTAATCCTTGTCTCCTATTCCTGCTTGCCACCTCCCCCAGAAAACTCACCTGCCCCAGCTATACCATGCCTCAGCCTCCACTTGGTTTCCAGGAAAGTCTTCATTTAAGGTATTAAGTGGATGTGCATAGGAGCAAAGAAGGCAGTGCTGTGGGTAGTGAAGAAGGATAAAGAGCATTTGACAAGCACTTTTCCGGGGTCACATAAGCTCTAAAAGTATATGCCTTTGTCAGGATCAGGAGCGCCAGCATGCCCACATAGGCATCATGGTGGAATACAGCATTGCCCTGATGAACAAGCTGGATGGCATCAACAGACACTCCTTCAACACCTTTCGCCTCCGGGTTGGTGAGTTCACCTAAGGGGAGTCAAGGGATCCTGGTGGAAAGAGGCAGGGGACGTGGAGGGGGTGACTTTATATGGCCATGTAGTACATCCCACCAGCTTGCTTCCAGGAAGACCTACTTTTACATATTATTAGAGGTAGAAAGCCACCTCTTAATTTCTTTCTCTAAAATTCCCAGGTGTTTTCTTTCATGATAATATTCCAAGGGCTGGGAAGTTCTTCTGAATGTCTAAATGAAGCCATATTTTTATTTCATCTGGGATTTTAGTCAATTTTTATTATTTTTATTTTTATTTTTTGCATATTTTATTAATTTATTTTGATTTATCAACAATCACTTCCATATGCTTTTGAGTTTAAAATTTTTCTCCCCCTTCTTCCCCACCACCCTCCCCAAGACGGTGCACAATGTGATATAGACTATACATTTACATTCCTATTAAACATATTTTCACGTTAGTGAAGTTGTAAGAAAAATTAAAACCAATAGGAGGAATCACCAGAAAGAGGAAACAAAACTCAACAGAAGAGAAAAAAAAGATAGCGATTCAACTTTCACAGTTATGATTACTATCTGTGTCTTTTTCTCCATCCTTTTTTCCCACTTGTTTATGCTTTTCTTTCTCCTCTCTCCCTTCCCCCCATCACCAGTACTTTGCTTTTCTTTCTCCTTTTTCCTTCCCCCCCCCTTCACTAGTGTTTTGCTTTTGACCACTGCCTCCTTCAGTCCCTTCCCCCTTTTATTATTCCTTTCCCTTTTCTTCCTCTTTAGTCTTACTGCTGCTTCCCTCCCGTCTTCCCCCCCCTTTTCTTTCCCCTTTTCCCTCCTACTGCCTATAGGGCAAGTTAGATTTCTATACCTAACTGATTATATTATGCCCTTCTTGAGCTAAATCTGATGAGAGCAAGGTTCAAACAATGCTCACCCCCCTCCCTTCTTTCCCTCTGCTGTAATAGGATTTTCTGTCTTTTCCTGTAATGTAATCTACCCTTGTCTGCCTCCTCCTTTCTCAGTAAGATCAGACTAATCCACTTACTTGGATCTGTTTAACCCACTTGATTAGACTTTTTTTTTATCATTACATCAAAGTCAACTAATATCCACCCCTTTATGTATACTCCTTTAACATGGTGTAATAACAACACAGTTCTCAAGAGTTGCAAGTGTCATCTTCCCTTGTAGGGATGTAAACAGTCCACCTTATTAACAACATTTTGTATCTTTCTGTCTCATTTACCTTTTTATGTCTTTCTTGAATCTTGTACTTGAAGATCAAATTTTTTGTTGAGCTCTGGTCTTTTTATCAGGAAGGTTTGGAAGTCTCCTATTTCATTGAATATCCATCTCCTCCCTTGAAAAATCATGCTCATTTTTGCAGGGTAGTTGATCCTTGGCTGCATTCCAAGCTCCTTTGCCTTACAGAATATCATGTTCCACGCCCTGCGGTCTTTTAATGTAGAAGCTGCAAGGTCCTGTGTAATCCTGACTGTGGTTCCATGATATTTAAATTGTTTCTTTCTGGCTGCTTGCAGCACCTTCTCTTTCATCTGGTAATTTTGGAATTTTGCTATTATATTCCTTGGTTGTCAATTTGGGATCTCTTTCAGGTGGTGAGCAGTGTATTCTTTCTATGGTTATTTTACCTTCTGGTTCTAGGACTTCAGGGCAGTTTTCCTTTATGATTTCCTGAAAGATACTGTCCAGGCTCTTTTTTTCATCATGATTTTCAGGTAGTCCAATGATTTTTAAATTGTCTCTCCTGAGTCGATTTTCCAGGTCGGTTGTTTTACCGATGAGGTATTTTATGTTTTCATCCAATTTTTTCATTTTTTTGTTTCTGTTTGACTGATTCTTGCTTCTCATAGAGTCATTAGTTTCCATTTGTCCAATTCTAGTTTTTAACAGATTTTTTCTTCTGTTAGTTTTGTACTTCCTTCTTCAATTGGCCAATTGTTTTTAGGGATTTGTTTTCTTCAGTGTACTCTCTGTTAGTTTGTCCTTCCTCTTCAATTGGCCAATTGTGTTTTTTAGGGACTTGTTTTCTTCAGTGTATTTTTTTCCAATTGGCCAATTGTATTTTTAAGGACTCTTCTACCTCTCATTTGACTTTTAAAATCCTTCTTGAGCTCTTCTAAGAAGGCTTTTTGGGCTTCTGACCAGTTCATATTTCCTTTTGACTTTGTAGATGTGGGTTTGTTGACAATGTTGTCCTCTTCAGAATTTCTGTCTTGATCTTCACTCTTCTCATAATATGAATCTATGGTACATTTCTTTTTACTCATGGTGTTTCTTTATTCCCTGGCCTTTAAAGAGATTGAGCTCTCCTGCTGGGGAACAGAGGGCACTGACCCAAGCTTCTTGTGTTGGGAGCCTAGGTCTTGGTCACTGGCTTTGTGTGCTGGGGCCTCTTATGTTGGCAATTGGAGGCTGTAGGTTTCTGGCAGCTTACCTCATGTTGGGCTGGAATCAGCAAGGCTGGAACTTTCAGGCAGTTCTAGGTTGCCTGCTTTTCCTTTTCTTTAGCTTTCTTCAGCTCCTTTTAGATGGGTGCTGCAGGGTGTTTATCTGCCTGGGGGCTCTTGCACTGTTGTCTCCCTCGTTTCTGCTAATGCACTGGGAGATTCCATTGCGGTAGATTGCCAAGGCTCCTGGTGGTTTTCTGAGCTGGTTTCCACCAGTTCCCTCCCCCCCCCACTGAGGCACTTGGAGGTCCAGGTGTTGGTGTTTGCCTGCTCTACCACCTGAGTTTCAGGATCTCTTCCTGGTTGACAGTTGGAGGTTCTGACAGTTTACCTGTTGTTGGGCTGGAATCAGCAAGGCTTAGACTTTAGGAAGACTTTAGGTTGCTTTCTTCAGCTCTTTTCAGATGAATGCTACAGGGTACTTATCTGCCTGGGGCCTTTTGTAGTGCTGCTTCCCTTATTTTTTCTGAGGCACTGGGAGACCCGTTTGCTGGGCTGCTGCACGGCTGCTCCCCGTCTTTCTTCTAGTTCAGGTGTTCCAGGGTTTTTTTCTGGGGTGATATTTTCTGGGTTTTCAGAGATTGACAGGGGAGAGTGAGAGCAACTACCTTTTTACTCTGCCATCTTGGATCCCGGCAGCAGAACGCCTTAGTCAGTTTTTAAAAATTAATTTTAATTCTATATTGGTCCAATTATAGACAGAAGCTTTTCCCTCCCTTGATTTGTATAAAACTTGACTTTGAACTACCATTGGTATTATTTTTCAGGAGATGACTAAACTTGTCTCCCCCCTACCCCCAAAGAGATCTCATTATTTTAGGTATGTAGACCAGTACAGTATTCTTGGTTTGGAAAATAGATTTTTCTGGTTTCCATCAAGGCTTCCTTTCAGTGAAAGGCTTGCTCCATGTGCTTCTGTCTAGAAGTCCTATAGCTGATCCCTACACTGAACTCAATTCAAATACTTTCTTCAGGCATCAACCACGGGCCTGTCATAGCTGGGGTGATTGGCGCACGAAAACCTCAGTATGATATCTGGGGAAACACAGTCAATGTTGCCAGCCGAATGGAAAGTACTGGAGAACTGGGGAAAATCCAGGTAAAAAAAAAATGAAAGAAATCTTCTAATGAGATTACAGGCAGTTGTGCTGGAAAGAGTCCTGGAGTGGGAGTTTGGAGTCCTGGCTTTGTTACTTTGTGACCCTGGGTAAGGTGCATCCTCATCCTGGACTTGAGGTGGAAAGGCCCTTGGGGAGCATCTAGCTCAATCCTCTCATCTTTATAGAGGAAAGTGAGGTCTCATTGGGCTTTTCCTCCTCTGTAAATTCTGTGGGTTGGACTAATTTAGGATTCTATCCCCTGCCTTCCGATTTGTGCCTGGACTGTCTCCCATGCCTAATCCACAAGCATTTTGTTGTGCCAGAAACTGTACTAGGCTCTGGGAATAGATAACAATGAGATGCTCCCTGCCCTCAAGAAATTTACATTGGGTCAGGAGAGAAAACATGTATGAATATAAGTATATACAAAATAAATATGAGGTTATTTCAGGGATGGAAGGGAATTCCCCATGCTGATGAAATTACAGGTGTACCCTCTTCTCCCATTCCCACCAAATAAATCAATTCCCTAGGGCTTGGCGCAGTGCCTCACACATCATAAGTGCTTAATACATTTTTGTTCAAGGGATAAATGGATGTCTAACATTCAATGGGTCTATGTGTATGTCCACTGAAGGTCCTGCCCTAGTAGTACAGAGAAGAGCCCTGGATTCTCAGAAGCTCCATTAGCAAAGGACAGGATCTAGACCCCTGTAGGCTGCAGAAGATAGGCACAGAGTCACTGTCACGCTGTTTGCTGCCTGAGGAAAGATCCAGAGAGGCTCATGGCCTAAATGTTGGCTGCTGGGTGACAGATTTTTCTGTCCACAGCTGCTCAAAAATACCTTCTGTTCAATGTTGTGAGCTGCATTGATAGAAGCTAATTATGCATGTAATCTCTACTCAGAGATTTATTTCTTCTTTCACAAAGGCAAAGACTGGCTTGTTTTCCTTTGCAGGTTACCGAGGAGACCTGTACCATCCTCCAGAAGCTGGGCTATTCTTGTGAATGCCGGGGACTGATCAATGTCAAAGGCAAAGGAGAGCTAAGAACTTACTTTGTCTGTACTGATACCACTAAGTTCCAAGGGATGGGGCTAAACTGAGGAATTTCACTGGATTGGGAGGTTTAATTACTTTGAGCTTCTTATGCGAGTAAAGGAGAGGATCGATGGGCTCAGCACTTGAAACTTTCTTGACAGGCAGAAAAAGCTATTATCTCCTTGGCTTGGAATTGCTTTAAAGAATTTCCCATCTCTTGGACATGAGACTCTGCTTTTGGCCTAAACCAACTACAGCACTGAGACTTTTAGAAAAAACTCCTGAAGGGTTAGGCCTCAAGGTACCAACAGCATGGGATATCCCAAGCTTCTTGGCATGGTCTTGCTGCGGATCTTGTAGAGCTGTTCCTGGGACGGAAGGCAGGAGTTTGGACTAGAACTGTACCTGGAAGCTGTTACAGCATAGAGTGCCATCTAGTGACTTCATAGCAACAAAAAGACACTATTTGACATAGTCAGATCCTGTGTCTAATGTTGCTTTAAAATGAATTTTCTGTAGGGCTTTGGATGAGCCCCTGACTATGCTCTGGTTACCTACGGGAGGAATCACTTCTGTGAAAGGACTATGGGAATGAACACCAGTTGACTTTCTTAGTAAGTTAACAACAGGGCTAGGCCTCCCAGATAAAACCTTTGTTCCATAGGGAAAAAAAAATAAAAACCCTAAAGGCTTTTTTTTTCATTTCTAGGAGATTTCAAACAATGGAGTGTAAGTGTTTAAAAGGCAACATTACTGCAGATAATTACCAACTGTTCCTACTTGCTGTTCTTCTGTTTCCCCATGTTCCCATGGGTTTGTTCTAAATGGATACATTATTAATGGGACATTTTAAAAGGACTTCTCAGTGCTGGAAAAATTAAGCTTTAAGTCTGTCATCTGTCTTTTTAAACTGACTTAAAAACCCAAGAAGTCAATGCCATGATTTCGTGTTTAGTTTTTGTACTGGGCATTAAATAGGGTCACTTTGGCTCTAAAATCAAATTTTCTCTGCAAGAATTTTCAGTTGGGTTCTCTCAGAAGGTAGAGGTATAGGGAAAAAAAGCCTTTGTTTAGGTGCTAAGTCCTATCCCTCATCTCTCTATTGGATGAATATTATACACATCATGCATCATTAATCTTACATTATAAGTAGGTGAGAAACCATCTGCTTTTAAGCTATGCTGTTACTTTTCAGACCAGAGGAAAGAAGTACATATGTAGCATGGAGAGAGTCGTTCAGCATGAACTTGCAGTAAGAACTTTAAGAGCTACTTGAACCATTGAGCACATAGAAAGGAAGATCCCACAAGTCAAGTAACCCAGGCAGGGGAACCCCCCAACAGGAAATCCTCTCCCATCTTTGTGCAGGTGTGATATCTCATCTAACATTTTCCTTCACAGAAATGCAGACATACTCTTATTCTAAATCAGAGTGACTCTTCATCTCCCTTTGGAAACAAGCCAAGTGTATGAAATATTCTTTTAAGTGTCCTGGCTGTTAAGAACAGCAGTGTGCTTTCATAGGATTGTAGATTTAGAGTTGAAGGTACTTTGGAGGTTATCTAGTCAAATTCCTGCAAATAGCCTCACAGAGGTGAGGTGAGGCAGATTACCATTCAGTTTGTCTCATCCAGATTTAGTTTTCCACATAGAGGCTGGGGTTCACTAATACCAGAAGCACTTTCAAAGATGTTTACAGCAACTTAAGTAAACAGAAAAGGCCTTTTGTGATCCAGAGGTAACAGGTTCTCTTCCGGGATATATGTGAGACTCTTAGGAACAATTTTGTTCTAATTCTTTGTCCTGGTCAGACCAAATCTGGAGTACAGTTAGGTCCCAATTAATACAAATGATGAATTCCCAGAAGTGTTTGCATTATTTGAATTTGCATTGTGTATTTCCATTGTGCTAGAACCAATCACTGTATTTTATAGAATTATAACTTCAAATAGTATGAATCCTTATTACATATGATCACTTCATATGATTCATTAGTGGAGCTAATTAGGACTTAGTCATATTTGTATTGAGTTCTGCATTCTACATTTTAAGGATGATGATGAAAAACTGGAGTGTCTAGAGGAAGGCAATCAGGATGGTGAAGGGCCTCAAGTGTACCAAACATGAAGATTTATTGAACGAACTGGAGCAATTTGACCTGGAAAAGGCTTGAGTTGTCTGGGAAAGATAAAATAACTATCTTTAAATATGAAGAATTAGATTTGTTTCTGGGGGCCAAACAAGGCACAATAGGTAGGAGTTGCAAAGAGGCCAATTTAGGCTTGACTGAAGGAAACTATGCAAAGATGGGGTGGGCCGCCCTGGGGTGGGGTGGGTCCCTCTGCCCTAGAGGTCTTCATGAAAATCTGGATAAAAACTTGTTATACCTTCTTACTTAGGTATGGGTTAGAATATACAGCCTCTGAAGTCTCTTCTAATACTTTTGGAATACAAATGTTTTCTACCACTAATGGCTGGTATCTGAAATCCTATGAAGCACCTGATTTAACTGTATGAAAAATGAAGCAATGTTTCTCTTCAGCAGATGAAACAGAGCTATGCTTTTATTGGGGTGGGCACTCCTTTCACAGACACAGATCACAACCCCTCCGTTACTTAGTAGATGGTGCTAATATGTTGATGTGGCTCAAAAAACCTCATCACCTTGTGGCCTCTCCATCGTGACTTACTGTGGAGCATGTGCTGGTAGTATGTGCATGAAAAAGAGTGGCTCAGGACCAGGATGAGTTTGTGTTAAAAGTTGCCATGGCCTCAAAAAACCAGAATCTCTCCCATCCCTCACTGAAGCAAGCATCAGCAGAACTTGATATATGTCATCAAGCAAAATCTGTCCAGGAAGGAAAAACAGGTTTGTACCAGTTTGGATATTTGGCCACAAATGTTTTTTCTTTGCTTTCACTTACAGTACTCTGTTCAGATGAGAATGTCTAGCAAGTTTTTCCAGACTGAAGCTGCTAGGAGAAACAAACATTTATTTGAATGAAAAGATGAATAAAAATGATGAAGGAAAAAAGAATGAAAAATATACGAATGAAAAAATATTTGGAAGTGGCAGTGTTCACGTTTTACAACACATTTAAACAAAATTGGTCTTTTCTAAGAATATCTACTAAAGTGGCCTACTGAAAGAACTTGTCAAATTGACTAGTGGGGAATAGTGTAAAGTTCTTTAGTTTACATGTTATAACTATTTCCTAAGAGAAATAGAAAATTATTAGTATAATTTTTATATGTTCAGAATAATGCCACATATGTATATTTTTAGAAGGTGCATGTAAATAACTGGGACTTACACTGACGTTGATGTTTTACAATATTTGTATCAAAACAGTATTTTTTCATTTTTATAAGTAATTTAACAAGGGTATTTCTAATTAGCAGCAATATTTCATAAGATAAACTTGCAATTTGGAAATGTTTAGTACCTTGATGTATTTTGTACTTTACTGAATCGGGATAAGGACAATGATGAACTTTCGTTTACAGAGAAGTATGTAAGTCAAAACTCTTGGTCTAAAATAGATTCTTCAATGTTTATTCCCTCAAATTATTTTTGGTTGTTTCCTAGAATGAAATTTAAAGATTTTGGCAAAAAATTATGAATAAACCACTTTGTCTATAATGATTCAAAAACTGATAGCTCCAAGAGTTGCCTTTAACAAAAGTTATCAAATCTCAATTTAAACAGGTAATATGCAGTTTTTTTGGTTTTTTTTAAAGAGAAAGCTGTTGATTTATTTTAGAAAATGGACATTTTTTTTTTACAAAAGGTTCTTTATTTTTTTTTTAACATGTGTTTTTAAAACTTTGGGTTCCAGATTTTCTCCCTTCCTCCCACCCTACCCACCCTCATTGAAAAGGCAAGCAAGTCAATACAGGCTATACATGTGCAGTTATGCAAAACACTTCCATAGTAGACATGTTGTGAAAAGTAAACTCTATTTCCCTTAATCCTATCCTGCCCCCCCATTTATTCTATTCTTTCTTTTGACCCTGTCCCCTCCTCAGAAGTACTTCCTTCTGATTACCCCTTTCTCAATATGCCCTTCTTTCTGTCATCCCCCTTCTCTCTTGTCCCCTTCCCCCCATTTTCCTGTAGGGTAAGACAGATTTCCATACCCAATTGAGTGTGTATGTTATTCCCTCCTTAAGCCAAATCCTATGAGAATAAGATTCCTTCATTTCCTCTCACCTTCCCCTGTTTCCTCTCCACTGTAAGAACCTTTTCTTGTCTGTTTTGTGCAAGATAATGTACCCCATTCTACCTCCCTTTCTCTCTTAGTATAATCCTCTCTCACCCCTTAATTTTATTCTCGATATCACCCCTTCATCTTCAACTCACCCTATGCTCTCTCTCTATCTATCTATCTATACATACATATAATTTTTCCCCTCCCACTACCCTAATACTGACAAAGGTCTCATGAGTTATAAATATCATCTTTCCATGCAGGAATGTAAACAGTTCAATCTTAATAAGTCTCTTATGATTTCTCTTTCCTGTTTACCTCTTCATGTTCCACTTGAGTCTTGTATTTGAAAGTCAAATTTTCTATTCAGCTCTGGTCTTTTCATCACGAATGCTTGAAAGTCCTCTTTCACTGAATGACCATTTTTTCCCCTGAAGGATTATACTCAGTTTTGCTGGGTAGGTGATTCTTGGTTGTAATCCTATCTCCTTTGCCCTCCGGAATATTATATTCCATGCCCTGCGGTCCCTTAATGTAGAAGCTGCTAAATCTTGTGTTATCCTGATTGTGTTTCCACCATACTTGAATTGTTTCTTTCTGGCTGCTTGCAATATTTTCTCCTTGACCTGGGAACTCTGGAATTTGGCTACAATATTCCTAGGAGTTTTCCTTTGGGGATCTCTTTCAGGGGGAGATGTGTGGATTCTTTCAATTTCTATTTTGCCCTCTGGTTCTAAAATATCAGGGCAGTTTAACTTGATAATTTCTTGAAAGATGATGTCTGGGCTCTTTTTTTGATCATGGCTTTCAGATAGTCCAATAATTTTTAAATCTCTCCTGGATCTATTTTCCAGGTCAGTTGTTTTTCCAATGAGATATTTCACATTTTTCTAATTTTTCATTCTTTTGGATTTGTTTTACAGTGTCTTGATTTCTCATAAAGTCACTATCTTCCAATTGCTCTATTCTAATTTTTAAGGAAGTATTTTCTTCAGTAAGCTTTTGGACTTCCTTTTCCATTTGGCCAATTTTGCTTTTTAGGGCATTCTCCTCATTGGCTTTTTGGACCTCTTTTGCCATTTGGGTTAGGCTATTTTTTAAGGTGTTATTTTCTTCAGTATTTTTTTGGGTCTCCTTTAGCAACCTGTTGACTTGTTTTTCATGATTTTCTTGCATCACTTCATTTCTCTTCCCAGTTTTTCCTCTACTTCTCTTACTTGCTTCTCAAAATCCCTTTTGAGCTCTTCAAGGCCTGGAACCAGATTCATATTTTTCTTGGAGGCTTTGGATGTACGAGCTTTGATTTTGTTGTCTTCTTCTGGTTGTATGTTTTGATCTTCTTTGTCACCAAAGTAAGATAATATAGTCTGACTCTTTTTGCGAGGTTTGCTCATGATCCCAGCCAACTACTTGAGTTTTAAACTCTTTGTTAAGGTAAAAGTCTGCTTCCAATGTGGAGAATGTACTGTCCCAAGCTTTGGGGGTTTGTATAGCTGTTTTCAGAGATACTTCCAGGGACCTGTAAATTTTCAGTTCTTCCAAGGTAGTATGATAAGGGTAGAGGTGTTTACTCTTTTCCTGGCCTCAGCTCTGGTCTTTGAGTGACCGGCCACAAGCAGTCTTTTCTCTCTTGGAACTGTAATGAGGGTTTCCTCTCTACCGCCACTACAAGCTCCACCGCTCCAGCGCTCCTCCTCACCCCAGGACCACCACCCAGAACTGTGACCAAGCATGGGCAAAGCAAGAGATTCCTGCCTCAGCACCAGCAAAGAGATCCCTGCAGTCCCCCTCTGATCAGCCACTTGATTCCCCCTCAGTCTGTAGGCCAGAAGCTCAGGACACAGCTCCATCCTGGCACCCGCGCTCTGCGCTCTGGAACTGGCTCTGACCTAGCTCTTCTCTCACCGCAAAAACACTTTTCCCACTGACCTTCTAAGTTGTCTTTGTTGTTCATGGATTGAGGAATCTGGAAGCCGCCACAGCTGCCTGTGATTCAGTCCTCTGAGGCGTGCTCCAGGTTCGCTGTGGCCTGCACGCCCACGCTGAACTGCGCTCTTCTTTCCGCCCGGCGCAATATACCTTTCCGATCAACCATCCAGGCTGTTTTGGGCTGGAAATTTGTTTTACTCTGTCTTTTTGTGGGTTCTGCTGCGTTAGAATTTGTTTAGAGCCATTTTTTAAATGGGTATTTGGAGGGGTTTGGGGGAGAGCTCAAGCAAGTCACTGTTTTCACACTGCCATCTTGGCTCTGCCTGCAAAAGGTTCTTGTCAAACCATAAAATACTGCAGCTTCCTAAAATTTCCTTGCTGTGTTATTAAGTAAAATGTCTAAAACAGGGATTACTAAGGCACTTTCATGGGATCATAGGTTAAGTTGGTAGGGCTCATAAAAGGATTGTCTAACTTTCATTTTAGTGATGGGGAAATAGAGAAGTTGAGTGACTTGCCCAGGGTCACAAGGCTGGATAACATGGTGAATACAGTGCTGGATGTGGAGCCAGGAAGAACCAAGCTCAAATGTAGCTTCAGATACTTATTAGTTGTAAAACTTTGGGCAAAGTCACCTAATAACTCTGTCTCAGCTTCCTTATCTAGAAAATGTAGATAATAATAACACCTCCTCCCAGGGTGTTTGTGAGGGTCAAATGAGATAGTATGTTTGCTTTCCAAACCTGAAATTGCTGTATAAGTGCTATTATTATTATTCATATTATGCAGTTAATAATGATAGCTAGCATTTAAACAGTGCCTGCTGGGAGGTCGGTTCTATTATTATCTCCCTTTTACAGTTTGAGACAAATAGAGGTTAACTGACTTGCCCATAACTACATAGCTAAAAGTGAAGTGAGGATTTGAATCCAGGTCCCCTGACTCCAAATCCAGTGCTCTTTCCACTACACCATGCTGACTTCAAATAAATTTTGCAGGGTCTTCAGCACCTTCCTTTAGCCAGTAGATTTAAAAGTTGAGAACTGAATGGTGTCTGAATTCTATTTTAGGTACCCACTATGATCTTTACTCAACTCAAGTGGGAAGAATTGGTAAGATATAACATTTCTGATTCGAATGGGTTGATTGGTGGTGGCTCATATCCAATTATGTCCTTTTCAGGTAAATTCTTTAAACCTTTCCCCCCTCAGATGACTTACTGATGGATCTGTGATTTCATTGGTGTGGGTGCTCTTTCCCTAAATGCTAAGTGTAATATTTCCAGGCTGTTTTACACATTTTTGTTAACAAATCTTTCCATAAATCCTACACAGAAGGCCTTATTTAGAACACTTCCATTTTGAAAGGTAACTTTCTTTTTCCTACAACCTAATTTTGATAGTATTTAAGTCAGTACTGTTAGAACAAATGTTAGATTTTTCTAAAGTCAACAAGTATATTTGTATAGTGAGAGATAATTACAATTAAATTATTCTTTGCAAAGTACCCTTATAATAATACTTGGACTTATTACTATAATTTAGTTGCTTTTCATGGATAGGTTGCAGTTTCAGAAAATGACTTTTCTTAGTTTTTATTCTAAATTCATTACATGTTCAATCAAAGCTTCTGAGAAATTCCACTATATTCTCAAATGTCATAACGTAATGAACCACCACATGCCTATGGCTTCTGTTTTACCAAAACAGTTGAATTCTATTGTAGTTGACCTTTGTATTTCAGATAAAAATAGATCAGTTATCTGGTTTACTTCATTGTAATTAAGTCTCTGGCATGGCAGACATGACCTTTAAGAAACTGTAAGTAGAAATGTATACTTTATGACTTGTTCAAGGATGTATTTCCTGCTGTTATCTACTTTATTGGCATCCCCCTCCCAATATTGTTCCAGGGTAGGGGAATGCCTGAAACAGAGAGAGAGAGAGAGAGAGAGAGAGAGAGAGAGAGAGAGAGAGAGAGTGTGTGTGTGTGTGTGTGTGTGTGTGTGTGTGTGTGTGTGTGTGTGTGCTGGAAACCTAATCAAAGCTGGTGGGGCACCACCATATACAACATGCCTAGACTGGCTAGGAAACATGTTACTGAAAATTTATTTAAGGGGGATAAGTATGCTTTTGAGAGGAAGTGTGGAATAGTGATAGAAAGATCTGACTCAAGTCTTGCTTATGTGACTGAAGGCAAATGACTTAACCTGTCACTGCCTCTAGCGTACCCTCTAAGACATGTTTCAGAGCAGCTGCTGATTTGCATTGGTAGAAGAACTTTATCGATGTTCTTCTCCCCCCCCCCACCAAAAAAGTTCTGTATAGTAAAATAGTGGAAAAATCTCAGTTTAAAAAATTTCTTTCAGTTAAGGAAGAAACCTAAGTGCTGTTCAGAAACATATACCCAATTCTGCCACTAGGGTCAATGTCAGACCACCCTCCCTCCCTGGGAGAATAAATATAATACAAAAAGCTAACATTTTTATAGTGCTTATTTTATGCCAGGCACTGT